CACAACCCTACCTCCACAGACATAATTCTGCTAGTTAAAATTGTTAGTTATATATCTAATATGAATAGTTGTTTCTGAAATTACTGTTATGCATGCGGTTGGCAGGGCGGCACACAGGGCATACAATAGTCATGCGGCTCTTGTGGGCACTGGAAATGGCAAACGTGGCTCTCCACAAACCACTGACTGGGTCATCACTGGTGTAATAGGAGTAGATACGGGAACAGCTGCTGCAGCATGTGCACCTGCTTTCCTCTCTTCCTTTCCCCCTCTCTCTCACACACAATTAGGGCGGTCCCTGTGCACTATGGGACCAGTTGGCAACATTATGGCCCTGCTTACTTGCTTTGACCCCTGCCACAAGGGAACAGGATGAGGAGTAGGAAAAGCAGCCAAGTTCTGATTTGGACATGAGTCAGTAGATCAAAAGCTTATAGTCTAAAGTTACCACTTCTGGGCAGCTGAGAAAAGACTTCCAGCGGCGAACTTTTAAGTTAGCCACAAAAACCTCCCAGCAAGATTTATGGAGGAATTAATCTGGCCTCAAGGAGCTGCGGTGGCTCAAGTGGTTAAGACGCTGAATTGCAGGCTGTGGAAGGCCAGTAGTTCAGCAGTTCGAGACCCGAGTTGCTGCATGACGGAGTGAGCTCCCGTCTCTAGTTCCAGCTCCTGCCAACCTAGCAGTTCAAAAGCAAGAAATTGCAAGTAGATAAATAGGTACCACTTTGGTGGGAAGGTAACAGCATTCCATGCGCCTTGGTGTTTAGTCATGCCGGCCACATGACCACAGAAACGTCTTCGGACAGCGCTGGCTCTTCGGCTTGGAAATGGAGATGAGCACCGCAACCCTAGAGTCGGACTCGACTGGCTTTCGAGCAAGGGAACCTTTACCTTTACCTTTTACAAGATGGTGCTTTCACCTTTGCATGGGACTCTGGCTCCTTCTACCAAAAGCCCAGTACCTCAGCTTCTATGTACTTCTTTAACAGCATGAGTTTGCTTACCATTCTGCTCATTTCTTCCTGAGCCTCCATTGCAGAGAGGTGATCTCTGCTCCGAAGCCGGATCGCTCGAATCATTTTTTTGGCTGACAGCTTTAAGAGGTGTGGTCACTTCTGACGGAGTGTGATTCATGGTGGCCACCATTTCTGTTCTTCCAAATGAGACTCACATTAGAAACTGTTCCAAAGGCCATCATTTCTGCAAGGTTCATACAGTACTGACACCCCTCCCCACCACGATTTGCTGCACAAAAATGTAAACGCTTTCATTGGTGAAGTGTGTTTCTGTACATGCTTAAATGTTGCATTGCAAACAGCTTTTCAAAGCAGGTAAGGCCTATGGTGCAGAGGTATGCCCTGCCCCATAAAATACTGAGAAGTAAAGCCAATACACCTGCTAAAATAAATAAATTGTGGTACAGTGCGGTGCCAAAATGGTAATGTGGGGATGCACTCTCCTTTTAATACATGTTCACTGCAGTGTCCTTGAAGCAATTCTGCACTAAAACTGTATTCAACTTTCTTTTTAATCCAGGGTCCCCCCCCCCCATTCTGCACTAAAATAGAGTTCAACCTTTTTATTCCAGGGTTTCCCCCCAGTCTGTATTACATTCCCTCCCCTCAATGGTCAGCCCTGTTTCAGACTGCTGTTGCCCCAGGTTATTTGGATGCTGTTTTGCTGTGGATTTAAACTGCCTTAACTGTAACACTGAGAAAATCCAGAGCGGCAGGCAAATGTGGAAAGGACCGATGTGACAGGGCATTTCTCAGGGGGCATGGCAGCTCTGAAAGAGTCAACTGGATGCAAGCAAAGATATGTGAAAACAGCAGATCACACCAGCAGCCTGCTCCTGGGAGAAGTGAACTCCAGCCAGATCACTGCTTATTTAACACAGACTGTAAAATGTCAAGTCCTCCAAAAGAGCACAAGCAATTCTCCTTTCCACCATTTTGCCCCAGCTGTGCGGTAGATTAGGTGAGGCAGAGAGAAGCCCTGGCCTAAGGTCATCCAACACGCTTTAGGGTTATGGGGGATTTCAACCCCAGGTTTCTACATCCTGAGTCCGAGTCCCACGCTCTGACTAGTATAACCCACCTGCACACATGATAGGGTTGCCAGCCTCCAGGTGGGGCCTGGGGATCTCCCGCTTTTACCACTGATCTCCAGCCGACAGAGATCAGCTCCCCTGGAGAAAATTGCTGCTTTGAAGGGTGGACTCTGTGGCCTTATACCCTGCTGAGGCCCCTCCCCTCCCGAAACCACACCCTCTCCTGGCTCCACCCCCAAAGTCTCCAGGTATTTTCCAATAGAGACTTGGCAACCTTAACACATGAGTCTCCTCATCCCTAACAACCTATGTAGTTTTTCAGAACAGATAAGCAGTAGATACTTAGCTAGACACAACACAGATTTTATACACTTCATAGCCTGTTCCTCACTTTGATACTGTTATTCCATACACACAAACCGAAACTCCCTTTAAGCTAACTTAACTCCCTTTAAGATAACTAACTCCCTTTAAGATAACTACAAACTAAATAAAGCTATACAGAAAGCATTAAAATACATTTGATCCCATTTAGAAAAGCCTGCCAGCTTCTATATACTGTACAATACACAGAAGACTTTTTATTTTTGTAAGCCTGAGATTTACAAACCATTATTCTAAACAATTTACTTTATTATCATCAAGCCGCTGCATGATTTAACATAATTTGCCCAGGTTTAACAGATACGGAACATGTGCATTCTATATGACTGGGAAGGGGACAGTGGCATGGAGTTACTTTGCCCATTGGTGCTGAAAAGTACAGTACATTTAAAAAGTGGGATGAAAGCGGAATATTCAGAAGTGGACCTCCTTTCCAAGCATCTATGAAATCACTAGATTATGTATTTATAGCCCACTTTCTGGTGCCACATACAAAAAAGGAGAGGATTGTGAGATAAACATCCTTCAGTCCTGCAAGCCCTGCTTCCAGTACCACAGTGCTGCCCATGATTTTTAATAATAGTGTGCCGTCTATTTGCAACCAACTCATGGCAGGCCTAGCCACAGGGCATTTGAGACATGAGATAACCAGAGGTGGTTTGCCATTGCCTGCCTCTGCACAGCAACCCTAGTCTTCCTTGGCAGTCTCCCATCCAAGTACTTACTAGGGCTGACAGTGCTTAGCTTCCAGCTAGGCTGGGTTATCAGGCCGCTCTGTGGTTTTTAGCAGTAAGGAAAGGATATTGTGCATGTGCTCAGAAGTAGCATATGGACACTTTTAAACTCTCTGCCATCAAAGTGGCTGGCACTGAACCTTGGACACCAAGGCATTAAACTGGGATCCTGTTTAAACATGCTCTGAACAGAGTTTATTTGTTGTTGTTGTTGTTGTTTTAAACACAGACTCATCCTACTCCCAAACATCTGAAGTGTGATCTAAGTCTTCATTTACAAAACAGTAATGAGAGTGGGCAATAATGTGGAGTTTCTGTAAGTATTCGGTTATGATATAATAACATATTTATACCTCTGCCACAAATGATCACAAGCGAATACCATGTACAGAAGCATCCCCAATATGGCACCGGTGGCTACCATGGCTGCAGTTAAATGGGTTTCTGGGCATCTACTTTCTTTTCCCTGCTGCTGCGTTTTGTGACCCCCTTCCACATCCCATTTCAAGTATCTTCCTTCTCCTGTTCACACTCCTCCCTTCTCTTAACATTTCCTTTGCTGGGCTTCTGGTCTGGCTCCCGCGAATGGCGGACGCATCCTCGGGTCGCTCCCGAGGGCGTCTCGCCCGCCCGTGGTGGAGGAGGGAATCCGCGCGAGCGGAGACCCGAACGAGCCCCTCAGGAAGAGAGGAGCTCGGATCCGGGGCGCTTTAGGGCACTACAGGGGGGAGTCTCTCTTTCGGCCGAGGTCGGAGACTGAGGCTCCCGCCATGCCCTGCCCCAATGGACCTTGCTGCGTGAGCGACCCCGTTTCACGGGGTTTAGCGGAGCCACCAGACGTCACCGAGTGATAAAGCGATCATCCGGAAAAAAATGGAAAAGAAAAGATCGGCTTAACTGTGAGTTGTCAAAATGCAGAGAAAAAGAACTAAAACCGCTCCCCCCCCCCAGCGAAAAAGACGAGGAGGTTAATCCTCTAACTGCATAAGCGAAAAAGAAAAGGAGGGGGGGAATGGACTGAGCGAATAGTGGTGTTTTCCTTTGATGTATTTGAAATAAAGCAAGAAAAAGTTTTGTTTCTCTGGAGCGCATTTTAAGAACTTTATTGAAAATAAACAATAAAAAAAGATGTCGGAGCTGGGCATTTGCTTATATGTGAGAGCCGGCTGCTTAATGCTTGGATTGTTTATGGCTGTGAATCTGACGGGGGATTGTAAAAAACGGAAAAGTTTGAACTTTGACAGCGAGAAGTGCCTTGTAAGCACTTATAAAAGTCAACAGTTGCGGAGGAGGATCCAGCAGAGAGTTTGGGAGCGGATAAAAGCGAAATTGAAATTTAATACCATTCTCAAAGCTGGAGACCTCCTGAAACGGCATGAAAGGAAGAGGATTTATAGCACATGAACTGAAAGAGTTAACAGCAACCCGAAGGACGATTGAAAAAAGCCGGAAGGTGAGGAAAACAGAGGAAGCTCCTCCACGTCATCGGGAGTGCAAAAGTAACCAGCACGCAAAGAAGCGGTTCTGAATGCGCCCTGAAGAGACTTTTTAACAGAAATTCAAAGGAACACTACTAACATACTAACATAGAACTACTTGTGACCGGATTGAAAAAAGATGTTTGACAACACACAGAAGAAGCCTAAGAAGAATGTTTGGACATTACTAACAGTTTAATTTACCAGTTAATATATCACTCAGCTTTCTCTTTCTCCCACTATATACCCCCCCATTTTTCCTTTTAAGCGAAATACCTCCCCTTTTTAGGAGAGTCAATAAAATCTTTATTAAAAAAAAAACATTTCCTTTGCCAATTTTTACTTTTCCCCCCTCTGCGTCTCTCCGTCACCTCAGCCCCTGTGCCATGTTACCTCTCCAGCCAGCTTTGAGGTGTACAAAAGGTGACTGAAGAATGGAGAACGTGCAGTGGTCGCAACCGGAGAGCCAAGCTCTGACCACCTCCTGGGAAGCCCTGGCAATAGCTGCAGGTTAAATGGTTAATTAATTAATTATCATATGGCACTGTGTGTGGAATAGGCAGAAGATCCCAGAAGAGACTGTTTGGCTGATGAAGCTGTAGCTCTTTTTTGACACCACTAGGTGGTGAGCTATGCTTATTTTTAGGCTGAGAGCACTGTGACTTGCCTAAGGTCACCCAACTAGCTTCAAGTGGGGAGGTAGGGAATCAAATCCAGTTCTCCAGATTACAGTCTACCGCTCTTAACTACTACACCAAACTGGCTCTCTCAGGTTAAATGGTAACAGGCCCAGAAGCTCACATCTTGGCTCCACTTGTCTTTATTCAGTTCACGCATTCGCTTGGAAGTTTGCCATGACAAACACACTATCACCAGTAGCAAGAGAGGGAACGTTAAAGAAAAAATTGATCCAAGAAGTGACAATACATCCAAGAAGAGGCACAAGGAACAAGGAACCGGGGGAGGAAAAAAATTGGGGCTGGGGAAAGATTTGAGATTTCCACACTCTCAGCATACACAGGTTTATGGGCTTCAATTGGAGTTCCCTGTCAGTGTCCTTATTTTACAAAGACTTGCAGTTAATAACCAAGGAGAGAGTTGTTAATTTTTTCAAATGTTTAAATATCAGTAAACTCTGGCAATATACCTCATAACCACCTTGATGACTGTAAGAAGATAAGGTTGCGGATGACATGCAAAGTCTGGTTGTGGGGTTTTTTTGGGTATGTAGAAACACCCAGAATTCACAGCAGACATTTTTTGACTGGCCCCACCTCACCAACAGCAGCAATTTTGTGCTGGCACCCACTACCTTCTTTCCAAATTCCAGAAGTACCCACAAACTCAACAGGTAACCCATTCTGTACTCTGCCTCAAGCAACCAAATGTCTTGAGCCTGGCAGACAGATCAAGATGGGTAGCCGGTTAGTCTGTCTGTAGCAGTAGAAAAGAGTAAGAGACCAGTAGCACCTTAAAGATTAACAAGATTTGTGATAGGATATGAGCTTTCGCTCATACCGCTCACTGCTCCCCTGAAAGCTCATACCCTACCACAAATTTTGTTAGTCTTTAAGGTGCTACTGGACTCTTACTCTTTTCTATTGAGCCTGGCAATGATTGCAAACTGGATTGCATGGTCAAGACTCTAGCACTGATAATCCCATGTGAAGAAAGCACCAGGAATGATGCAACTCAGGAGCTAGTTGCCTTTGGTAACTTGGCCTTGGTATTCAGCAGTTCCTCCTTCTTTGGCCTTTGGTTACTCATGTTTATTTTTTCCTGGATCCTCTGGTTTCCTAGCAACATTGCTGGTTAAATAGGGCACATTACACAGAAAACTACCATAAATTTTTAAGTTTAATTGAGATGAGCACTGAGCACTAGAAGTCTTTCTGCATCATTCCCAGAAGGTGGCAGCAAAAGTTGCTTCCTTAAGGTTTGATTGTACTAGGGGTAGCCCAACTGCGCACAAAAAAAAAAAAAAAAATACACACACACACACACAACCAGGGATCCAGCAGCAACTCAGAGACACCATTTTACTGTGTCATATGCTTTTATGATTGGTGGCCCACTTCAGATGATGAGACTGGATTCTCATAGGCAGCCATTTTGTGTACAAAACATGAAACAAACAGCAGTGGTCAAGAGGCCATGAAACTAAGGGAATACAGGTTGCAATATGACTACCTAAAATCTAATCCTCAAAAACACAGAGACCATTCACTAATTAAATTAGTTACCACCTGGACTGTGTTTGAACTTTAAAAATAACCAGTACTGAGATGCTTCCAGAGAAACTCCAAGAAACATCATACCCCCACTTCCAGTATTCTTTCCTGTCCTACGAACTCTCAGACCAAGAAACCACAAGGGTATCAAGCATACAAATTAAAAATCAAACTACAAAATCACAATCAGTGACAATATAAATCAGCCACTGTTCTGCCTCACCGTAGCCTTCAGGGTCATGCAACTTAAAACCCATTTTGCAGGCACACAATATCTTTTTGATATATACTAAAAATGCAACCTGATGACTGTTTTGGCAGGCTATTTTGGGACGATTCTGGATTGGCAATCGGCATGGAGCCTCTGAAATGCACCCAGCAGCAACCCATCCATCCAACCATTCTGTAAAGTACTCTGAAGTTTTTGCTCCAGGAGAATGAGTTGGCAGAATACAGGAATTAGACCAATGACTGTTTCCACATCCCAAGACAAGACCTTTGAAAACAGTGACTTGAAGTATCTCAGGATGGAGCTAGAAAAACCTCAACCATGATCTCTTGCAGAATGCCCGACTGTATATTATTTCTCCCAGGGGTGACTGTGTCCACGAAACCAACTTCCCCTCCCCATTATAAATCACCATCTATCCCTAGCATGTAAACTAAATGAAGACCTGAGGCAAGCTTAACCCGATTTATTTTGCAATCTCTGGGTTTACGAGTTGCACTCTTGGGCTGTGGTCACACACTAAATAATGCATTTTCAATGTGCTTTCCAACTGGATTTTGCCAGTTCACACAGTAAATTCCAGTTGGAAAGTGCATGGAAAGTGGATTGAAAGTGCATTATCTAGTGTGTATGGTTACACGTTTCAGCACCTCCGTCAGCTGCACCATTATTAATCCAATCTACCGATATGAAATGAATACTTATCAATGTTTATTGAAGGGCTCGGTCCTGTACCTCAAACTGATGAGAGCTTCTGGGGAATCTGCTCGCTATCGTGTGCCATTTTGGCTGGCCCGTCCAAACACGAAAGAGCCCAACGCAGCCATAACCTGAGCTGCAGAGCCCCGAAGAATGCCACTCCAGGCTGACGCAGCACGCCTAGACCACGGAAAACTTTGTCGATCTCAAGGAAGCTACTGGACTGAACCCCGTTAGGAACCAGAGCACAGATGCCTGAATGCCACTCACAGCTCCACGCTTCAGTTAGGTGTAGTGGTTAAGTGCAGGGACCCTAATCTGGGAGAACCGGGTTTGATTCCCCACTCCTCCACTTGCACCTGCTGGATGACCTTGGGCAAGCCATAGTTCTTTCAGAGCTGTTCTTGAAAAAGAGCAGTTTCTCTTAATAGCTCTCTCAGCCCCACCCACCTCACAGGGTGTCTGTTGTGGGGAGGGGAAGGGAAAGGAGTTTGTAAGCCGCTCTGAGACACCTTTTGGGTAGTGAAGGGCGGGGTATAAATCCAACTTCTTCTCCCTGCAAAGTGATTACGGGAAGGAGCTCCCGTTGGCCACATTCGGGAGCCTCAAAGGCGGCAGCACTTGCCCGGGGAGCAAGAAGACAGCGCCCAGCCCAGGAGCGGATGGGCCGCCTCGATTCCTAAAGGCCACACGGGGACCACTGCGCGCCGACTTACCTTTCCAGGGTAAAGGCTCCAGCAAAGCTTCCAGGCGCAGCCGCTTCTTCCTTATCTCCGAACCTGACCCCCCCCCCCGACAGTACAGCTGGCGACGATTACAAAGCCCTGGGGCGGGGCGACTGACACCCAAACCCTGCACAACTCGTGATCTACGTTTGGTTTAAGGTTTCCTAAAAGCCCTCCCCTCCCCCCGAGGAAAGGATAGTCAACTCCTCCTAACTGTTAACCCAGTGCAGTTAGGAACGTGCACTCTTGCAGGCAGTCATTACAATCCGTACCCCTCCCTCTGCACACACTTGTAACCTCGGGACGGCCCTTCTCCTAGTCCAATTCGGGGGTCGGAAACGATCACCTGCTTGGATTATCGGGAAATCAGCGGAGCTCTTGCCGGGGGAACGTCACCTTCTTGAGCGGACTACAGACATACCCATGACCAAAAAAGGGTTGCCGAGGCACGCTGGGGAGGAGAAGCTGGAGCTGATGATGCAATGGCTGCCAATCTTTTGAGGAAGTAAAGACCATTCGTTTGTGGCCTTTGTCTTGCCACTGTTTCTTTCCCCAGCTGACTCTGGGGCAACCTGAAAATCTTGATTCAGTTTCTTAAATAACCGACTGCAGATAGGGAGTTTCTATGCCCTGGACCACCAACATCCATCATTCCACCTTCTTTCCCCTTTTAGTTTCAAGGTAAAACTAAGGTGGGCAGCCCTGTTGATCCCACCTGAAGCACACAAAGTTAGAGTCCAGTAGCACCTTTAAGACCAACTGTAATGTATCCAGTCCTGACAAGTCCAGAGACAAACAGTCCTGACAAGTCCAGACAAGTCCAGAGACAAACGTTGAGCATCGACCCAAGAGACAATGGACTATGTGGATCCTAGTCCGCTCCAATCAGGGGGCTAGGTTCCTGGCCGAGAGCCAATGGGACTCTTGGCCACTGTAAATAACCTATTGGGAAGTGGGTGTGTGTTTTGGGTGGCGGTTTCTCGGGGGATATAAGCCGGCCTGCAAGACCGCCAAAGTCATCTTGTTCCTGATCGAATAAGGTACGCTTTGCTGAAATCACTCTCCGTCTGCGTACTTTTCACCAACAAAGTTTGATTCGGTTATAAGCTTCTAATGGTAGTTTACTTTGGCACTTCTTTACTGTAGGCCTAATAAAGGTGTTGTGTTACTGCTACCCTTTGGGTCTAAGCTTATTCTTTTCTATTGTGCTGTGTTACTCATTGTTCTCTGTGCTAGAGAGAAAGGTGTTTCTGTCTCTGCAGCAACAGTCTTAGGGTTGCTAACCTCCAGGTAGAGCCTGGAGAATTCCTGGAATTAGAACAAATCTCCAGATGGTAGAGATCAGTTCTCTTGGAGAAAATGACTGATTCGGAGGGTGGACTCTATGATACACCATAAAGTCTAGGAGTATGGAAGGTCTAGAATGACCTCACATCCCTGTTGAGCTCCATCCATGTTCCCAAACTCTAGTGTCCCTAAGCCCCACCCCAAATTTCCAGGATTTGCAACCTCATTTGGAATACCGTGTACAGTTCTGGTCCCCACACCTTAAAAAGGATATTATAGCATTGGAAAAAGTGCAGAAAAGGGCAACTAGAATGATAAAAGGGTTGGAACACTTTCCCTATGAAGAAGGGTTAAAGCACTTGGGGCTCTTTAGCTTGGAGAAACAACGGCTGAGGGGAGACATGATTGAGGTTTATAAGATTATGCATGGGATAGAGCAGGTAGAGAAAGAGTTACTTTTCTCTGTTTCTCACAATACAAGAACTCGTGGGCACTCAATGAAATTGCTGAGCGGTCGGGTTAGAACGGATACAAGGAAGTACTTCTTCACCCAAAGAGTGATTAACACATGGAATTCACTGCCACAGAAGGTGGCGGTGGCTACAAGCATGGACAGCTTCAAGAAGGAATTAGATAATAAACATATGGAGCAGAGGTCCGTCAGTGGCTATTAGCCACAAGGTATAGATAGGGGCTCTGGGGCAAGTGATGCTCTGTCTTCTTGGTGCTTGGGGGGGCAACAGTGGGAGGAATTCTAATGTCCTGGCCCCACTGGTGGACCTCCTGATGGCACTGGTATTTCTGGCCACTGTGTGACACAGAGTGTTGGACTGGATGGGCCTTTGGCCTGATCCAACATTGGCGTCTCTTATGTTCTTATTTTCTTAACTTCAGGCGTCTATTAGAAACTGGATTGAAATTAGGCTAAACAACCAGTCTCATCTATGGAAACATGGAGTTACCCAGCAACCCATTGGTTCAAACACTTTACCCTCAGGAGGAGCAAGTTCATGACCACATCCTTCTGTAATATTAATATATGGACTATACCAGGGGTGTCAAACATGTGGTCCGGGGGCCAGATCAGCCCCCTGGAGGGCTTCTAACAGGCCTGCAGTGGAACTGGCTGTCTCCTGCTTCTTCTTCCAGTTCTGCTGCTGCTGTGACATCGTAGGTTTGCCGCTTACAGATACACACCTGAACAGCATACTCAAGACTGCAGCAGCACAGACATTTTGATGCAATAATTCAGAGCAAGAGGTGTCAGTTGTCAGACACTGTTAAATAAACAAAATATTGCAAGAGTGCTAATGTTTTAAGCATGTTTTTTATTTTAAGTTAAAAAAAACCCGTTTGTGTCCTTGATAAAGTTTATATATCCGCTACCTGGCATTACATTTTATGACACACATGGCCCAGCCCCACAAGGTCTCATTTATGTCAGATGTGGCCCTCATAACAAATGAGTTCGACACCCCTGGGCTACACTGTCTTAGTAATATCTCCCGTGTTTCATGCTATATAGATCTTGTTACTGTGTTGTCATCACTTTATTTGTTACTTTAATGTTTCGTCATTCCTTGTTGACTTTATATTCAATAAAAAGTTTTTTTAAAAGATGGCTGGAAATGTTCTCTGCTTTAAGGAGGCACTTGCTACTGCCTGGACTCAGCCAGGACACACCCTTCAGCTAGACATTATAAGCCGAACAGGCAAGGGTTGAGTAATGATGTGTAGGAGCTCCAAGCAGCTTCTCCACATCCTCAGGCCATAAAGCTAAAATTACCTGTATGTACCTGATTAATTCAAGATGTCGAATGCTAGTTTAGGTTCCCCTCCTTAAAGATGCTGGTGCTCCGCAGGCCTTCCAGGGAAGATACTTCCATAAATCCAAAGTGGCCTCTGAGAAACTGCATGTCTCGTATATCCCACTCTCCTGGCTTTCCGCAGACCATGCAAAACTGAATTTCAACACAGGAAACTGGGTTGCACGGTACTAAATGCTTCACAAAGTTACTTGAATAAATGATTAGGGACTGTGGTCTATACCACCGTGTACAGCTGCACTACCGGTTGGTTTAAGTAGGATCCTACTATGTAATTTTTGCATTGTTTAATGTGTCACGTGAACACTTTTCTTTCAGTTCTGTTTTCAGATTTCTGCTTAGTTCCAGATTTTTGGTAATCCAAATCCTACTCTTCCGTTTATTGAAGGTCTCATCCTGTTGACTGTATTGATTCACTCTGGGTAATCCACCTTGAGCCCAGTGAGAAAGGCGGTCTATAAATAATGTGAACAAACATGCAACTTTGGGTGGCTTATGCAGGGTTCCCGGGGTTTTTTCATCCAGGCACTGATCAGATCCAGACATGCTTAGCTGTTAGTTGAATAGATCCAGATGGTCAGCCATGTTGGTCTGAAGCAGTAGAACAAATTTAGAGTCCAGTGGCACCTTTAAGGCCAACAAAGGTTTATTCAAGGTATGAGCTTTCGTGTGCACGCACACGTCTTCAGATACATTGGAATGGTAGATGAGGTTCTAAACTTATAGACAGGGATTTAATAGCAAATTAACATGTAACATGATGATGTTTAAGTTAGGCAAAGTGAAAAACTAAATAACAAGTTAAGGTTTAAGGTCAACGGTTGCAAAGCAATAAATATGTCAAAATAGCAGATAAATGTCTAAAGGTGTTTTTTGTAATTGTGGAAAGTAACAGAATCTTAATTATCTCCTCTCAGGCATGGAGGGCACTTAACAGCATATTTTGAGATGGATGTAATGTTGTTAGCAGACATCCCAATATTTCTTGCATTCAGTATTCTAATATACTATTCTGAAAAATACACTAAAATAAAGAGGATTTATTTATTCATGTTGAGAATACATATGTGAGGACTGAATGATTTAGCATATGTAATGGGATAAAAATCCAATATCCCTGTTGAGTCCTGGGGAGGTTTTTGTTCCAAGTGTTGTATTAACTTGTAATTCAGCAATTTCCCTTTCCATTCTGTTCCTGAAGTTCCTTTGTAATAAAACAGCTACCTTGAGGTAATCCATTGAATGTCCTGGAAGGTTAAAGTGTTCTCCTACAGGTTTCTCACAGTTGTGATTCCTGATGTCAGATTTCTGATAGTTATTTGAACAGTTAGGAGAAGCTGAACCTCACGCTTCTTCCACTCTGCTTTTAGGATTATGTGAGAAGCTGATGTACAAGATCCAGCACAATGATAGCTGTTCTGAGGCAGTCCCAGTCCTATATACGTGCCTGGAAAGGGTGACAAAACAAAGTCTATTCTAAGAACACATTTATTTAGAAATTTATTTAGAAATTTTGCATGCCACCTCTCTCCAGCGACCTGCTCGGAGCAGCAGCTCACAAAGTAAAATCAATAAAGTTATAAAAGCTAGAGCATAACAATTATGTAAAACTAGCTACAAAAACAAGCTAGGGACATGAAAATAGTATAAAACAACATTCAGCTGCCTACCATGGGTATCCATAAAACAGGCCTCAGGCTAGAAGCAGGCCACAAAAGCAACTTGCAAAAGATGGGATCCATCAGTTCAAAGCCTGGGTGGAAAAATAAATGTTTTGGCCTATCGCCTAAGGGTGCTAAAGAGGTGCCAGGTGAGCCTCAAGAGGTGCAACTCAACTGAACCCCTCTGCGGGCAGAGCCATGGAAAGCAAGGTTTGGAGAGAGGATCTTAACTGATAGACTGGACA